AAGTGCAGTAAAGAGACTCCTCAGCCGCTAACTCATTAATGTAATGTGCAGAGAACAGACCAGTGACTCCAATTAGGAGGAAACAATTACTGCTATCTGGGGAACTTTTGTTTGCCTGATCATGAACCTTTTCCACCCAGCACCGCTGCGTTTTTAGCTAATTAGCTCACGTACAGGTTCGAAACCAGTATTTTACCCAATTCTAATTAATCACAATATATATATATTATATTTTTTTTTTCTGCAGTATAAGTTTGTAAACTGACTCTTAAAGGCCCTCCGTAACAGAAATTTAAATATTAGTCAAAAAGTCTGAAGACAAATCAAAAGTTTTCATGTATTTAACAAATTAAAACTTTTTTTTTCTTTCACACCAGTTCAGGACCCGCTTCTTTGTCTTAAGTAAGTTGTTCCCCTTTAATTTTCTTTCAGTTTGGAAAATAAAAAAAAGAGGAATCTTGATTTTTGCATTGGTTTCAGAATGGTTCAATTATGATGGTTGAAAAACCTGAAAGAAATATGAAAAGAAAGTAATAACACGGTTCAAAGCTTGACAGATGTGAATGTGCCAACGCGATGGATATTATAAAATCAGACATTTTCAAAATTATAACTTTTTTTTAGAACTTTTTGACACTTTCTTGAACTGCTTATTTAAATTTTGACCATCCTATATTTCCTTGGATGAAAAATGACTTTTTTTGTTTTGAATGGGTCTAATTATTTCGTCTCTAACTGTACAGTACGTCCACCTGACAGGTAAGAATCGCTCTTCTGTCCTCATGATAATATCTGTACTCGCTGCTCGGATGTCCCTGACGTGGAGCCGGTGATTTAATAGAGGACGTAGAACTGGAATGATGAATGACGAATGATGATGGTTCAATGAGAGAAAATTAGCGACAGCGGAGATCAAGTGACGCGCAGGACTTTTGTGATTACGGCAGCATTAAATCAGAATTAATGTGACAGTGACAGATGGGATACGGAGAGGGATGACGGGCACGTTAGCGTTCTGTAGGTGGACCATCGCAGTGAAAGACTGGCTAACTTGTCTGAGTTAAAGCCGCTGTGTTGTGGGGATGCAGCAGATGATTGACAGTGACGGATGGCACAGTTAATAGAACAAACCAGGGATGATTTAGTTAATTTCATTCTGGGGCGATAACAAATTTGAAAGACTTTGATGATTTTATTCCTCCCTGGGCTCTGTCTCTTTTGGCCTTGTGGTCAACTTAATCAGAGGGATATTTTAATCAGAATATTACAGAGAAAATAAACAAACTTTCCAGCTAATATAAAAGTGAGTAAGGGAATGAAATGGCTTCAAAATATTACCTAAAATAAAAAAACTCAGCTAAGGGTTATGAAGAAAATAAGCTAAAGCTGAAAGGGCAAATCAAAAGTTGACATATATTTTGACCAAACGTAGAATATTTTGTCACTTTTATATAAATCGCAACAAATCATCTAGAAGATTTGAACAAGGAAAGGCTTGAAAGCCAGAAAGTTTAAGCCAAACCTTTAAGGCTTTTTTAACACTAAAAATAGAGCACTTAGAGCTGAAAGAAAACTTTTTAATAATTAGCTAGAGTTTTTAACACTTTGCACAAAATGGCTAAAAATAGAGCACTTAGAGCTAAAAGAAAACTTTTTAATAATTAGCTAGAGAATTAGTGACCTCATTCCTAACAGTAAGTTCATGAACAGATATAAGCTAGCCTAAATGCTAAATTTACCTCCGGTGGTTAAAACCCCCCACAAAACAAGACATATAATCAAACATTTATGAAAACATAGAGAGCGGAATAAATAACGTAGAGGTAAAGTAAACCAAGGACTTATCAAATGTCTTACATGACTTAAGGTGTATTTGGAAAAAATAGTGACTCTTGTTCATATTTATAAAAGGATAAACCAAGGACATTTACTGTTGTTATTATCATTAGAACTCTGGTCCAGCGTTGTGCAGAATGAGACTCTATACTCCACTGTTTATTCTTAGCCATGAATTAGGTTCACTATTTTTGGAGGCCTGCAGTGTAACTACAGTGAGGAGCACCTGTAATATTTGGTCCCTGAGGAGCACAGGGTTTCAGTGGCTGCCTATGTGGGCCATGTTGCCCTACTTTACTTCAGTGCTGCTGCACTCGGCATCAGCACAGCACAGAGAGAACCGCTCCCTCTGACTGATGCGACACTGACGTGAAAACATTTTAATGAATGACTCAGCAGAATATCTGCTCTCAAATGAGTCAAATATTGATTTTTTCATAATATAAGGGATTGTATGAAAATACATCTTAGCCTGGGGCTCACTGTGACATTTGCAGAAAAAAAAAAAAAAAAAAACTTTAATGGCTGCTCTCTGTGTTTTTTCCTTGACTTTATTGTTTTGCCCTTTCCTTTCATCTTATTTACTCTTTGACAAAACCTTTTCAAAAAGATCCTTTTGATACAAGATGCACTTCGGAAAGTATTTCTTTTCGTCCGCAATTTTTTCCACCACTTCACCAAGAAAAATCCCTTCAAACTCTTCTTTACAAATACTGAATTCAAAATAAATATAAACTCCTGTAGGATGAATGTCCAAAGTCTGGTTCCTGGGCTCCCTCTGGTACTCTGACATCTTTTATGTACACATTTTACCTATATTTTGACTTTAACTTTAATGTTGTTCTGATAGTTGTCATCTATCTCTGGCTGTTGTCAACACCTAGCTTTAGCCTTAATGTACAGTAAGTTGCTAGCTAGCTTTGAACATTGACCATTTAGGTTTAAAATGATTCATTTAACTGAACTCAACTGATAAAAACCAAAATAAACTATTTTCCTCTCATTTATTTATGTTACAAATGTGAAGAGAAAACCCCAAGATAACACTTCAAGTGCAGCATTAATATCTGTCACACACCAAAAGGTGGTGATAAAACCATTTCACAGACTATGACCTACTTTAAAGAAAATAAAAGCAAAATAAAAATAGTTAAATAAGAAAAAGAATTAGGCACCGATTCATGCATATTTAAGATTATTACAGCCTGAACAATCGCATTTCATATAGTATTTTTTTTATATACAAAAAAATATATATTTTTTTGTCTGAACCATTTCAGGTCCTTGGGCAAAAACTGAACTGAAAAAAAAAAAAAACTGGCTAAAACCCAGGTCTGGGCCAAAAGTAAACATCTGCCCCTAGAGGTGATGACAGGATGTGTAATGTGATTCATAATTTCTGCAGTATCTAATGCATGCAGCTAGTTCAGCTGTAAGCACCAGCCACTCGTGAGGAGCTGGAGCTCTTGAATGTATAGACCTGCTGGAGGCAGCACAGTAATTATCCTAATATTGTTTTGTTGCATTCACTGCAGAAAATGACTGCTCTGAAGTGACTAATCCATCTGCTGCACACGTGACGCACGTGTCAGAAAAGGCATGTTAAGATGGATGGTTTTTTTTTTTAATGATACAATTTTAATGGGCTGATAAGAGTGTAGCAACAAGGCGTGTTATTGCCTTCCCCGGCTGGGAAGTGACAACATGCTGAGACAACTATATAAACGAACAAGGAAGCTGTTTACCATGATCTATAGCCTCGGTGTAATCTGATGTTATCTGCTGCTCCACTGAAGGACATGAGGAGAAAAATGAGTGTGTACCATAAAGCATCACTAAGATGTTCCACTCCACACCCGGTGTGAGTTCATAGTGTATACTGTTGTTTTCTAACAGTGCAATAAATCTGGGACTTAACAGTTTTTGGTTATTAATTAAAAAAACAAAAACCCACATAATCGAGTGTTTTTCAGGTTCCTTGTATCAACTGTTAAGCTATAGAATAATATATAGATAAAAAAAAGATAAAAATCAGAGTACAAATAATACATGGAAAGCTGTACTGTGGTTAAAGTACTGCAAACAGTGAGGTAGGAATGTCAAAAAATATCATAAAAGGCATATAAAAAAACACTTTGAATCCATGGATAGTACTGTAGTCATGTATAGTTTATAGAAAATACTTCCTGATTGAAATACCCCGACCCATAGGTGGCGGTAAGGCCCCTTAAGTTGCTTTTTCTAGCCTGGAGGAAGATGCACAGGACGCAATCAGTTACGTCTTCGTACAAGTAACTCTAGTGAACAGTGAGATGTACAGAAATAACACCTGCCTGTGGTGTTTCTAATAATAATGCCTCTGTGCCTGCACAATGTGCCTGTTGAAAAACAAAAGAAATATACATTCTAAACCTATATATATATTGTATAAGTGGGCCGAATTGAACGCCTTAGGGGGGCCAGTTTTCGCCCACGGGCCACATGTTTGACACTCCTGACTTCAAGGATCAGAAATGAAGTTGGGTGAAATGATTGTGAGTGTGAATAAAAATGAGTCAGAGGAGCAGTGACTGATCTGGTTTCATGATAATCCAACAATGCGTCGTCTCAGTGATGGATGGGTGTCGGAGTCTGACGCCATCCATCACTGGAGCTAAATCACTCTGACCTGCTGGTTGAAATCCATTTTTATTTAGTCTTACTTCTATTTTCCCCCTCATTTAACATCACTCTTCCATTTAATTGGCAACAACTGTGAACACTGAAGATGATTGTAGATTCATAATAAACTTCTTTGTACTGATAAAAAGATAAATGTGGATGGCCTGGATGAGGTCTGTATGAGGAATGTGATAATAACAACATGAGGGTCCTGATATGTTTAATACTGTGGGCTGGTGTCAAAGGTCACTGTCATGTTTTCATCACAAGCACCTGCTCTCCAAAACACACTTTATTTATTCTCTTTTAAGAAACTCTGCTATCGTTTATTGACGTGGAAGGTATTATTCCACATTAGGTGAGAAGCAGCTCAAGGCCTGTGACTGAGTTTGAATGATCTCCCACATAAGTGTGTTAAGATTGATCTGGTTTGAAAAAAACAAGTTTCAAAATCATTTTGTAAATTTCGTTCCTGAACAAAACTAATAAGAAAATGTCCTGACCTGCTGTCCTTCAGTGAACACCTTGTTTTCAAAACTCCAGGAGATGGTCGGTGTGGGGTCACCTGTGGCCTCACAGGTCAGGGTGACTTGTTCCTCAAACTCGGAGGCGGTCTGGTTGTTCAGGTATGTGATCTTTGGAGGAACTAGGGATGAAAAAGAGGAGTCAGGAACAGGAAAGTAAAAGTGAACCAATCACCAAAGAGAGGCAGTTCACGGGGGGGAGCAGTGTGTGGGAACAGTGCCATGCACCTCAGTGGTAACTTATGGACTCGAACCTGAAACCTTCAGGACCGCTTCCTCCAAAACCACCAAAGCACCACTGCCCCCTGTAGTGTAGCTGTGGAAGGACTTTCTCTAAAGTTCCATCATTTTAGCCCTTTTCTCATTCCATTGACATCTTATGGGCTAATTTATCTAAACTAAGCTAACCTTTAAATCACCAGTGATACCTTAACAGTCCTAGGATAAAATATAAGACTGTAACTAGATCTTTTTGTGAACAAAAACAATTTTACCTCTCCATGGAAAGCTACAGTAGGTGCTTCATTTTCAATGCAAAGGATGGCAGTGATGCTACGGTAGTTCTAGGTGAAATAGTAGCACGGACAGCGCCCACAGGTTCATCCATCCCTGTATCACTTGGTAAAGCCGCATGAATTCACCATTAAAGTTTGAGACGACCACTTAGCAAATGGCTCAGCAGAACTTTCTCTAGTTTTTATGAGTATCACAAAGAACTTACAGGCAGCCTTTTAATCTTCCACGATTCACAGCAGCGTGACACAATTTACATCCTGTGATCATTTATCAATTGTCTTTATACACACACACATATCAACACAAAGTGAGTTTCTCTGCTTGTTGCACTGCTGAATTATACATACAGCTTCATTAAGGCTACACTTCAATACGACATTATCATAAGCTGTAATAGGGCTGCAATCTAAGCCTGGCTCATGAAGAGAGAGAGAGAGAGAGAGAGCGGGCGAGAGACTATAATGCACTATCTTTGAACCTCCTCGGGGCTGAAGCTAATTAGTATCCAATAGCAAGAGGTTCTCTTCAAACTGTGCTCGTCATGGTGAGCGACCCTGTAACTGGCTGACCACTGGAAAAAGCTGTGTCCGCCAAATGTCAATAGGGACCAAAAAAAAAGAGGCCTGAGGTGGAAACAAGAGAAAGGCTGTCCTTTTAAAGCATGATATTTGAAGTTTCTCACCAAAAACATTCAGGCTGACTTCTGTGGACTTCTCTCCGGCCTTGTTCTTGGCGATGCACGTGTACTCGCCTTCGTCCAGTTTGGTGACACCTTCAATCACCAGCTCTGAACCATCGTCATTCAGGGTGTACTTATCGCCAGGCTTGAGGGCGTCGTTGTTACTGTGAAAAAGAAAGAAAGAAAGAAAGAAAAAAAAAATCAGTATATGAACTGACTTGGGGGTCCTCCTAACACATTTCTCAGCTGCCTGACAACGATCTGTTTGATTTTGTTTTATCTCCAGAGAGGAGTGGAGCTGGGAGACCAGAAAAAAGAAAAAAGAAATCTTCTCCCAGATTCTCTCACACATTCCGTAGTGTCAGCTCAGTTTTGGCTCTGTTTTTGCACTAATTGTTCCAGTTTTGGCTCTGTTTTTGCACTAATTTAACCACGCATTTCTTCTGTATTCCTGAAAACACTCCTTCACTCCTGAGCACCACGAGGTCAAAGCCCTGTTTGTGGAGAAGCTACGCCTGAGGAGCAGCCGTCGTGACGCATTCTGCAGGCAGACATTGACTGACAGCCCTGTCAGAGGGGCCAGAAGAGCAGAACAAATAGAGCTTCAACCCATCTGTCCTCCACACCACAACACGGTCTTTCTTCACTGTCATCTGACCAGAACCTCAAATTCTCTCTGTGTCTCTGTGTCTCCACAGTGGACGGTTCACACAGGTTTATTTCAACAGAGCCCAGCTGTGAGGAACATCTGTCTCTTCAATTAACTCTTAGCCACTCACATCCACTTAAAATAAGGTTATTTAAAAATTCATCTGCAGCTGTGATGTGGTGTCTCGCCGGTGAATAATGATTCGCAAATATGTAAAGTACAGTGGAGACAGGAAGGGAAGTTCAGCCGCTGCTAACATGTGATGAATAAATGATCTAACACTGTACGTGAATATAGTGTTTTATTGGAATTTTATTTTTTGCAAACAACTTTTTTGCAAAGACGCCTTTGTTTACATTTGGCCGTTGTATGCATACGTTAGATTGTGTAACATTTGCTCTCTGTGATTTGTGTTGTTTTCTTTTAGGACATTTTTGCCCTTCATTATGGCAAAGGATTTTAATCATGTATTGATTTGCCCCCATACATTTTTTTACAGACCAATATGTTATAATTATTTTCATTTGTGTACTTGTCAGTACCATGAACTCGATCCAAACAACAAATGACAGTGATGTCATATAGGAGAGTGTTTCATTCAAACTTGAATCAAGTATCAGGGCAAAAACTAGTACTGGTACAGATACAGATAGTACTTGCCAAGTAGGATTTCTGTTTAAAAAAATACTTAACAAAGATTTCTTTTTTTTGTGCCCAACTCACAAAGATACAGTTTTGTAGACTGTGGCCTGGCAACTGATTTTGGGAGATGATGTGATAATATGTGATAATATGGTCTAAAGTGTAGAGTCTGCCAGTCTGTAATCAGTACCAACATTTGGTGCTGATTAGATACAAAAACAGTTTGGCATTTAAAGCTGCTGCTGCTGCTAAAAATTGGAATGTTCTGCAGCAGTGAAAAAATACAAAAAAAAAACCCCCAAAACAAACAAACAAAAAAAGGCAGAATTTTGATTTAAAAAAACTTGGGTTTAAGATCAGCGTTACCTGATTCACTCACACGGAGTGACCACTGTACAAGGTATTATAAACTAACCCGTATAAACTGTACAAACTCATTAATAGGACCAAGGTTCAGTCATGTAAAGGCAGCTAAGGGCTAACGTCTCCTCCTGTAGTATTTAAGACTTTAATTAAGTGGCGGACAAGGTCACTATGATCGTAAAACAGGTACATGTGCACAGGAAATGCCTTTTGTTTCAAACTGCAGGAACAGGAACTAAATCTAAGACCCGGTTTTGGAGATTTTTAGGAAATATTTAAGATTTCCATTTTACATTTGAAACACAAAATAAAGCAAGGAATTCCACTATTCTATGATTGTAAAAAAAACAATTAAGAGCAAATTGAGCTAAAGGCTATTAAAAGCTAGCCATGACAGATCAAAGCCCTGAAATATTGACACAGAAATAAACTGTTTATTTGAGATTTCTTTTTCTTAAGAAAAACAAAAAACAGTGACATTTTTGGATCCTACACTCAATCTTTGACAGTCTTTTTCGGCCTCTTCAACAGTAAAAAGGTGGTTAGTCCAGCTTACTTACTAGACCAGATGTAGACTATTTGCAATATGCTGTTAATGCAAATGTGTGCAGCCTTTTTAACTCTTGAAACAGTCAATTCTATCCTTTCTCCCAGATATTAATTTTAAACAACATCATAACAAACACACATTTCTATATATGGTCTGAGTTCAAAACCAACAAAGAGCTTGGTTGGAGATGCAGATGCAGCAGGAAGAGAGATCGTCGTACATTGTTTCATCTTGTTTCAAAAGATCGTATTTATAAAGAGACACAGAGGAAGCAAACAGCCCGCGTGGATTAGAGCAAAAGGAGAAAGATGCAATTTGCACTTCTGGCTGTTTTTCGACAAGCACTTTGAGAGGGTTCATTGAGCACAACCTGATTTACATGTACTCTAATGAACACAATACAAAAATCAACCTGCCACTGTGTCTGAGTTTTAACAACCTTTCCAGTGTTTCTCTTCGGGTAAAAACACAGCAGTTCACCACTGTTAACAGAACAAGAAGATGTAATTGAAAGTTTTAGGGACACTTAAGCTAATATGAAAATGTTTTGAGGTATTTTTGTACTGCTTGTTCTGATGTCAAAGTAACACAAAGACCCATTGGTGATTGGTGATTTTTCTTTTAAAGTTAGTAATTTATTATGGTTTGTGTCTCTGCAGTTTTCAAGGGAGAATTTTATTTAGGTTTGCTGCCAGCAAAGTATTATTTGATACATAATTAAAATAAGGTTTGTGTCTCTGCAGTTTTCAAGGAAGAATTTTATTTAGGTTTGCTGCCGGCAAGGTATTATTTGATACATAATTAAAATAAGTACAGAAAGATAACAGTAACATTATATATATATACATATATATACACACACAGTATATTTTCATAATTCAGACAGGGTTTTTAAATCATTAACATACCGGGCCCAGGTGACCTTGGGTTCAGGGAAACCGTCTGCGTCACAAGCCAACGTGGCAAAGCTACCAATGTCTGCTGTGGCGTTGACCTCCAGCTTTCTGGCACGGATGGTAGGAAGTACTGAAAAAGACAGGTAAGAATCAACATTACACACATACATTAGCCTGCACAGAACACAGTTTTAAATATTGGATCGTCCACTCAAGATTTGTCCACTAAAATATTTTATTGAAGACAGTAGTGTTTTATACTTTTAATACCAGAAGAAAACAGAAAGCAAATGTCGGCATGAACACAGTCCTTACCATTAACTATGACCTTGATTATCCTGAAGTCAATTTCTCCCCTGGCCATCACACGGGCCTCACAGGTGTAGGTGCCTTCATCTATCTTCTTGATGCCGCGGATCTGCAGGTGGCCATTATTCATCATCTTGTATCGCACTGAAACACGAGAAAGGCACAAATATCAGGAAGAAAATAATTATTGACACGGAGCTAACAGGAAAGCTAACAGAAATTGTTTTTTGGTTGATGCCTTCCAGGTATTTTTGTGAGTCAATAATGGTCTGAACTGTGCAGCAGCTGGTGGCTGCTCTCAGTTTGACTTGATGCATGGACCAGGAAGATCGTCTGAATCAGTCCTCTGCTGTGTGTCTCTGACTTTATTCTTTGATAACACCTTGTAACTCAGACACGACGTTGGAGCTCGATTATGAAGCCTCCAATTACCCCCAGTAATGAGGCATGTGGTAAGAGGCTAACAGAAAGTACTTCATGCTAACGTGGAGACGGCAGATCTTTGCCTTGTTTTACATGATCATAGAGTCTGCCGAGCTTGTGCACCACCTAATTACACCAGCCATGTACACAGAGACTAAAGTGAAGCCAACTTTAAGCTTTTATTCTGACCCAGAGGTCTGACCACACTTCAGATGCCTGCAGACAAATAGCCAAGCACGTCGTCTGCTGTTGTTGTTGTTTGTTCCTACACAGATTTCAGTACAGGAGCTAATTAGAACATGTGTCAAGGCTGACTTCTACTGTGCAGCCTCTAGAGGACAAAGGCTGCTCTGCAGGAGTCCAGGGTTCGTATTTGGAATCTTGTACTAGAATAAATTGAGAATAGAAATTGTATATTATGTCCATTTAGATTCAGAACCAGTACTATCAGCATAGCATATTGTGACGCGTGATCATGTCTAATAATAATCAACTGTGCGTGCTTCAGTAGCATTGATGACTGTTACATGTAAAGTGTTGTGATTGGGTGCCAGCTATCTTTTTCTAGGACAGTGAAGGCATCACTAGCTATTTTGTTTTCAATTTGATGTTTTCTTTGTGAAAGTTTCAGATGTTTTGCTTAATACGTTTCTACTTTCTTGCTGTTTTCTGAGCACAATATATACACATGTAGATTTCTACTTTCTAGCTGTTTTCTGAGCACAATATATACACATGTAGATATCTGTGTACATACTGTATGTACATATATACACATATGTAGATATATGTGTATATAAGTACACATATGTACAGTATATATATATATATATATTAAAAGAATGAATTCCATTTGTACATATATCAATCTCAGATCTATCATATATTTACAATAACCTCCATGACCTATATTATTTACTCAGTATTGATGGTAAACCATTTTTTGAGTTAAGCCTCTCCAGGCTTGGTGTGATTTTTTTTTTAAATAAACACCACACTGACACTTATGGTGACACTGAGAGTACAAAAAAATCACATTAGAGGTTTTGACTTGTCAATTTTGGTCACATTCTGTGGTGTTTCCAGTGAAAAACACATTCCTTCACCGGAGTCCAGCAATAAAAGCTGGGTATGTGCAACACTGTGGTGACTCGGAGTTCTCCAGCGGTCTCCAGGGGCGGGGTTACTGCGAGGTTAAATCAGGCCGAGTTCAAGTATGAAACAAAAGACAGTGTTTGCTCTGGTCTCCGATACTGCTCCCAGATCGGAGATGAAAAATGTAGCTGCACCGCTGAGTTTTGTAAACCGGCTGCTGGACTAAATTGCTTTCCTAAATGTGTACAAGAATAAAACTGTACTGCATTCCTGATGGTACTCTCATCTCCGCCGATGGACAGAAATTGTTTCTGGTGAAATTTCTTTCCTTTATTGAGCACGGTGCTACGACAGAGCTCTCTTCCTCCTCACGATAGAAGACCCATCCATCCATCCATTTTCTTCCACTTATCCGTTACCAGGTCGCGGGGGCAGCAGTCACCACCACACCGTACCAACCCTCCTAAACCTTCCTGCGGGTGGTGAGTCCACTGGAAGGTACCAACTGCCCTAACCAGGATTCGAACTTGCCCAGGAGGTGAACCCTGGGGTTCCAGGCCAATGACAGACTCACTGCCTCTGGGCCAAAGCGCCACACGATGGAAGACCTTTCAAGTAATTCGTTTGGATAAATTCTACAAACTCTTTATTAAGAAAAACAAACCAGGATGCTAAGGTGCAAAACTCCTGGGAGGAAAAGATGTGAATTTTATCTGTTATTGTGTCAATAAATATGAACATGGCAGGTCATGGTATCTTAGAGAGATAACGAGAGGCAAAGACGGAGAGGGAGACAAACCACAAGTTTGTCAGAGCAGCTCGTTAACTCTTCTCTCTGCCATATTCTACTTGGCTTTTTCAGTGTCAGTTTGAAAAACTAGGGGGTTCAGTCACTTTCATGCATCATACATGAGTCTAAAACTCCTTATTTGCTGACTCCACAAGTTTTTTTTTTTTCTCATAAAAGATAGGCAGGGAAGTAGGTATGGCAAATAGATCAAGAAGCATGACTTGGCAGGGAGGTGAGGTGACTTCTCCAGGAGCCGGGGGGAGACGATAAGACGACGAGGTGAAGAAAGCGAGAAAATAACTCAAACATTTCTGTACTTTTTCGCTGGCTCACCATCTTTGGCTGGTTGGATCTTGGAGCCCTTGTGTTTCCAGATGATGTTGGGCGGAGGAGAGCTGACTGCCTCGCAGACGATGTCGGCATCGTCCCCTTCGTTGAACTCCTGTGGGCTGGGAGCTTTGGGGAAGGTGATCTTCTCTGTAAGGAAATGTGACATATTTTTTTATTTTTATATTATGAATCTCAGTGCTCAGCCCGACACCTCCGAGGTGTTGAGTCCCGTGCGACGTATTTATGAATCTCACAGGGTGAAAAATAAATCTTACAGTTGATTAGCGCCATAACGGGATACCATATGGTGGAGCTTCTGCTTTCAAGGGTTTGCTGGGATTTCTGTTTTGATGACTGATTGTGTTGGTGGGTAGAGTCGCTAAGGTAAACATTAGGAGTGTAATGGATTAAATATTTCATTGCGATTAATTACACAGTCATCACAGTTAACTCGTGATTAATCACAAATTGCCTCCACATTCTTTTATCCTGCTACTAAATTTACCTAAAGTCAGCAAATTCATAATTAAAAAAAAATTATTAAAAATATTTTAGCATGTTGGCTTTGAGGGAAAGAATTTTTGAGTAGTATGTAACCCTTTTCTGAGAGGAGCTACTGTCGCCCTTTTTATTTACTCATGTACTCACCTCATTTAATCAACACATCACGATAAATTTTAATATTTCCAACTTTAGATTTTAAGTTTTGCCTCTATGAAGATGATATGATAATGCAAAATTGAAAATTTATAAATAAAAAATATAAATTACATAAACACAAACACAGTGATAAGGCAATAATGCGTTGTGTTCTCTTTCTTTGCCGTTCTTTTTAACTGTTTCCTACTCTTACTGGTCAATGTCAAAGAAATAAAAGGACATTTTACAAAAAGGAAGGAAAAAAAATCAAACATGTCAGACCTCCTGTCAGGTCAGACCACGTCCGACTGTCAATCACTATAAAACACTACACAGGATAAAACAATTGATTCTCAGACATGACAGGTCCCTGAACCCCAGAATGACCGATAATAATACCTAATAGTGTCGTTTGACCTCGGGCACATGACAGATGACAGTTCTACATTGAAGAGAAAAAAACAAACAAATCTAAGCTGTCCCTGTGAGGCTGACAGCTTGGAGTCAACAAAATCCTGAATTTTGTTTTAGAGCCAAGATCTCAATACCGTTCAATTTTCTATTTTTTTTTTTTTTTTATTGTTGATTGTTGCATACACCCATAATCTAGAATATAGTTGCATCATCTTCAAAAACTGAAGGGCAACATATTAGCATTTTGTCAAAACTGATACATAATAAATAAGTATTAGTAACTTTAAATAACTACGGGTTAAAGTTAGTTTCCTAGAATGTGTTTTATATTTAAATACCACGCATCAAAACAAAAAAATGATGGCCTTAAATCTGTTTAAAATTATCCAACATGTCCGACCTAAGTCAAGAAGGCACTTTACACGATTTAGTGACTGAAAGTGAAAGTGACAATGATGTGTCTTAGAACATTTTGACTCAACATTCAATATTTTGCTGCTAAAACAGACCTGGACAACTTGTTAAAATTATCCAACATGTTCGACCTAAGTCAAGAAGGCTCTTTACATGATTTAGTGACTGAAAGTCAACATTCAATAATTTGCTGCTAAAACAGACCTGGACAACTGTGTATTGATGTGAATAACACTCACAGTCTTTGACTGAAAGTGAAAGGACTATAATATAAGGTATTAACCTGCTTTATGCTGCTACTATTCTTTGAAGTGTGGGTGTTGACAAAGTAAGGAAAAAAGAACCTTTTGCTGTGTCTTAAAGAACTGCATAACAGTTATTATTTTCTTACTTGAGAAAAACCTTTGCACCCTAATGTCACACTTTGTTGCTTATTAAGGGTGAACTGCTTTAATTAAGGCTCAGACGCTGTTGTTTTGTGAGGTGGATTCTGCTCCAGGTGACATTTCTGCTCACTGAGACTTTGTAGTTAATGATGAGAAGAATTTTATTTACAGTCTGTGCTCATGCAGCAAAGAAAATATTTCCCTTTAAAGATATTTCACTGTTGTATAAATATATTATAAAAACCCGTCCTGCTCTTAATCTGCATATACGCAGTTCATTTCAGTATATTTAGAGGGGTTTAGAGTTTAATACCGGCTTTTACACACAGTGTTTAGCTATCCTGGTACAAGGAAATAAATCAGCATGAATAAGTTTAATACCAGCTTTTACACACAGTGTTTAGCTATCCTGAATTTCTAGTTGGATTAAAAACTTCTTAGTCAGTTCCTCTGATGACATATGGTGGGTATTCTTGTCGGAAATTATCCTAAATCTGTCCAAATTAACAATTGAATGGATATTCTGCATTTGTTATGTTGATGACATAATGATGGTCGTTAGAGTATAAGAGTACCCTAGAGAGTACAGGAGTACAAGACTTACGGAATATCTTCACTTGGACCGTGGACTGTGCCTCCTTGTCACCGTTCTTGGCTACACACTTGTAGATGCCGGCGTTGTCGGTGCTGGCGTGGTAGATCGTGAGGGTGGACGTGCTCTCGTCACTGCGGCTCACAAATATGTCAGGCCTGTTGGGGAGGATCTTCTCACCGCTGGGGGAGTACCAGTCGATGTCTTTGGCATCTCCCACCACTGTAGGCAACAAAAATGAAAGAATTATGTTTTCTCCAATCACATTAGTATTTACATTTATATTTATTTAATTTAAATTTACTAAACATGATAGATCAACAAGGGTACTTAGAGAGTAACAGGTTGGTGTAAGACCATTAAAATCTGAAAATGTGTTTATGCACAGCACTCTGAGAGCATGAACATAAACAGAAAAAAATATAAAACGTACCCAGAAGTGCAACAAAATCCAGTTCAAACCAAATCATTAGCAACGTGGGGTTAAACAGAACACAATCAGTTCTTTTAATTGTCTCCATAAGAGAAAACCTGTAAGCTGCGAATGCTAAAATATAAAAATGCAAATGGCTGGTTTTTCAGTGCAGGGCTTATTACGAGAGAAAACTGAATAGATTTTAAAAGCAGCCAAGACGCAATTCATCAACAATCCACAGAAGACATATTAATCACAGTCCATATAAAGTGGATGGAGGAGCTGTGTGAAATACTGTTTAATATTGTGTTTTGTTAACTGCTGGATTTGTTTGTTGGCTTGGTTTTCTACAAAATTGTAAAGGCTGCAGCAATCAGTCAAGATTAATGCATTTTCACAGTCAGTGTAAAATTACCAAATTACTCTCCGGGGGTCTCTTCACTATCTGTGAGTAAACACAATTCAGGTTCCCACTAAAAGCAAGGCTGGCCATTATTGTTTCTGCGAATTTAAAAGTCGAATTCTTCTTCACTGTGTGATTTAACAACAGTTGTTGTGAAGATCTCGCCACAGGAGCTGTGTGTTTTCCATTCAAAAGATGTGAAATAAAACTCACTTTCAACAAAAGGATGTGCAAAAATAAAGAGAACACAACCAACTATATTGTGGCTGTATAATATAGCCAAATATGTTTAGTATTAGTATAAATATAGGTTTAAAATGACTAAAATACTTGAAATAGTATAACTAACTGCAATGGCAGAGAAAGAAAATCCAATCATCATTTTCATTTACCAAGGACAGGTTCCAAAAGAAGATTCAATAATTGGCCAAAAACATGGATCAAAACATGCACAACAACAACAAAAAAAGAAAATCAGCAAAAATACCAGAGAGCTATGTGAATAGTTATAGTAATAGTTAGCAAACGAAGATTAGTTCCATATTGAAAGAAAGAGACCAGACAGAAAACAATCACATTTGGTATTTTGGTGTCGTTTTTGGATGATCTGAAATGGACCACCATCCACCCTGTTTCTTGTCTCCAGAAACAGTATTATTTTTAAACTCTTACCTTCACAGAGGAAAAACTTTGATTCTCCTACGCTGATTTCTCCCTGCGTCGGAGTGATCTGCACCTGGAGATCAGCTGGAATCATTGAAGAGGAGAGAGAACAAAGAAGAATACATTAGTCTGAGGCTCTGTGAGGAAAAAGAAGCAGACTAAGGTGAGGTCCACAATCAGGTTCTTTTGTCTGCACAATAAAGGAACCATTTTTACTACACAGCTAGACTGTGCAGTAAAAATGGTTCGCAGTCGCACAATCAACACTGACTCTACATGCATCTACATGTACTCATACACTCATCCCCACAGTGATCCCACAGTTTGACCTCCCAGGTTTTCATCTGTGTTTCAGGCAGCTGTAAAGATTACATTATGAAAACAGGATCGTAGGATCGTCAACTCGTTCTTTTTCCCCCGTGTCTCACAATCCTTGTCTAGACACATATAGACAGCCTTACTCATCATAATTGGACAAGGTTGTTCTGAAGTTTGAGCTTTTTCTGCCTGTCAGAAAATCGGCATAATTACATCCCTGTCCACCTAACTCTAGCTCAGGTGTTAACGAATGATGATGAATTATGTACAGGGGGTAGAGAAGGTCTTTCTTTGTGAAATGACAGGTTCTCACCATCAAATAGATTAAAGATACTCATCATACTGAATTTGAAATTGAATTGTAAATAGTCAGTCAATGGATGAGTGGTTAATCACACTTGCCTTACAGAAAGAAGGTCACATGTTCGATTCCTAATAACAAGGGATAACACTTATGCGTACATTTTGTATTCCAGATGCCTCCCACAGTACAATAAGAATAATAATTACACTCTGCATTTCTCATAGGTGTGAATGGCTTGTGTCTTTATGTGGCCCCCAGATCAACTAGGGAACTTCACAAGATGTGACCTTCCCCCCCTGCCACTGGGATTACCTGACTCCCTGGCCCCCCTCCCCTCTGCCACTGGGATTACCTGACTCCCTGGTCAGTGTCCCGTTTTAAAAACAAACAAAAAAACTTCTTTGATATTCATCAGAATATCTGAAAACAACGAAGCCTCGTCTCAAAATCCTCAAGTGCACTTTTGCCAGAATGACAATTTTAGAAATTGCAAGTTGTCAGACTGTGTTTGTCAGTGTTGTTAAGAGCAGCAGTGCAGCGAAGGCTGAGGAGCAGGAACGTCGCTGAGTCGTGATGGAGAGGCAGACACGCAGAAATCCCACTGATCCTTCAACATGTTGCCTCTTCACACGAGTGACTGAGTTCATCCCGTTCCAATTCTCTCTGGTAGGTTCCAGAAAAACAGTTTGAAAAAAAAAAAAGGAGACAGTGAACAACAGGCAGACTGGTAGGTAAGTAACTAATGTCACAGCAGCAAGATGTCACTGTTCATGATGTCACAGCCTTGTGGCTGTAGCATTGTAACAGCTTTGTTTGTTTATATATATATATACATATATATATATTTTTTTATTTTTTATTTTATTTATTTATTTATATTGAAGTTGGTTGTTAATGCAGAAACTACAGGTCACTAGAGGAGTTAGATGTTGATCAGTACTGACTTGGGACTGGAACACAATTTTATACAATATAAGCAGTAGGGGGCACTTGGTCTTCCAGTGGAGAAAACCGTTTGTATAAACATGTGTCAATCTAGTGTTTTATCCTGTTAGCTGTTGCTAAGGAACCAGGATGTAACACCTGCTGACCTCTGGCTGAAGAAAAAAATAATAATTTACTATTCAAGGAGGGAGCTAATATCCTCGTGTGGCTTAGTCAAGAATTCATACAAATATTGATTTACAGTAACTCTCCGCCGCTGCCACATGAGTGACCCGGCCTTTTAGACTAACACACAGCCTCCAGGGAGGAACAGAGAAACAGGCAGCCACAGCGTTTGTTACTCCAGTCTGGAGGTAGATACAAGCAAAACAACATATCAATTTCTTTTCAGCCCGTCTGGAAAGAACACCACAGCAAACCCTGGCTATGCCTCATAAGACTAAGACAAGCAGCCTGAGAAGCAGCTGATCATATCTGCAACACTAAAGACAACAAAAAGGGATTCAGGAGCTGTGGGAAAAAGAGATATTCCCAGAGCCGCTTTCTCAGCAAACTGTACGTCTGAGTGAAAACAGTGCTGTTCTGAGCAGCGTCCCTGTGATGAACAGGCTGTTGAAGCTCACGCTTCAACTCAGAGTGAGGTTTTATGGTCTCTGCTCACTCACAGCATATTGGGAGTCATAAAAACGTAGGTGTGAAAATGCAATAAGTTATCAGGTCGTGTTGTTCAACGCATTCTTTGCAACTCTGACACAACTGATGGCGAACAAAGAGCATATTTCTTAAGAAAATGTGGAGTTTTTACCCACTGTTCACTCCAGTTTCTGTCAAGGAGAGCAGAAAATATCACATTTTCACTCCAATGGTTTTGTACCACTGCTTACTAGCAAATCCAGAACGCCAAATAAATGCTGTCACCTGTCGGCAACTATTTTCCACAGGTTAGTGATGTGACTGGTAGTACATGTTCACTTACCCCAGACGGGCAACAACAAGACACAAGACAATATAGTATCCCAGGGACTTGCAAATGGATATCTACAAATATACACTGTAAGAAGTGCTTTAACTACATGGGTATACACACACACAACACACACTCTGCACAGTGTTTCTTATTCCTTTAAAAAATGTTTTCCAAAACAAACACAAATAAATAAGGAAATTTTTTTTCCAAAACAAACACAAATAAATAAGAAAAAATCAGGAACAAGGAAATAAAGGTGATTTTCTGTTTTTCTAGAAAAATAAAATGGGAGGTTGTTTGCAAATAGAAATAGAATTCACACACAAAAGAAATCGTTTTCACAAGAGAAAATGACAGCAGACAATTACACTGACAACGCAGCTAATCACAATCACAACCTTTAAGAAATCATTTCTTTGCCGTCACCAAGGAACTAAGCGTTATTCTGGAAATGGATGTGAAAACAATAATGTGAGTCTTTGCTCTTACTTAGAAAAATAAGAAGTGAAACGTTCTACCTTCAAGCACGTTGAAAAGTTTGAACAATTAAAAAAGTTTATATATATATGTATATATA